GTCCAGCTCTCACCTTGCTGGCTGGGACCCAACTATTTGAGCCATCGCCTGAGATCTTCCAGGGTGCTCATTAGCAGGAACTGGAATGAGAAGCTCAGGTGGGAGTTGAACCCGGGACTCCCAAGGTGGCATGTGGGCATCTCAAGTGGAGTCTTTAACAACTGTGCCAAATGTCTGACCTGTTTAAAAAGCTATGTATTGTAACTGAAATGTGCATAAATACTTACACATGGGTATGCAGAGAAATACCAGTGCAAATAGATCCCGCGGTCCTGGTCCAGTAAGGTGAGAGATGGCTGAAGACGAGCCGCAGTTGTGATGTAGGACTCTGGGTCACTTTATTTTTACTTATTTATTTATTTATTTTTAAAAATTTACTTTATTTATTTGAAAGATAGAGTTACAGAGAGAGGTAGAGACAGAGAGAGGTCTTCCATCCGCTGGTTCACTCCCCTGATGGCCGAAATGGCCAGAGCTGCGCTGATCCAAAGGCAGGAACCAAGAGCTTTTTCCGAGTCTCCCACATGGGTGCAGGGGCCGAAGGACTTGGGCCATCTTCCACCACTTTCCCAGGCCACAGCAGAGAGTTGGATCAGAAGTGGAGCAGCCGGGACTCAAACCAGTGCCTGTATGCGATTCTGGCACCACAGGTGGAGGTTTAAGCTATTACACCACAGCGTGGGCCCCACACTTTATTAATTTTTTTTTAAGATTTACCTATTTGCTAATCCTCTGCTTGTGGCGCCGGCACACTGGGTTCTTGTCCCGGTCACTCCTCTTCCTGTCCAGCTCTCTGCTGTGGCCCGGGAGTGCAGTGGAGGATGGCCCAAGTGCTTGGGCCCTGCACCCCATGGGAGACCAGGAGAAGCACCTGGCTCCTGGCTTCGGATCAGCGCGGTGCGCTGGCTGCAGCAGCCATTAGGGGGTGAAATAACGGAAGCAAGGCCTTTCTCTCTGTCTCTCTCTCTCTGTCTCTCACTGTCCACTCTGCCTGTCAAAAAAAAAAAAAAAAAAAAAGATACACCTATTTGAAAGAGTGACAGAGGGAGGGAGAGACTGAAAGAAAGATGCCTTGACAGCTGCTGATTCACTCCCCAGGGACTCAAGGACTTGAGCCGTTACCTGCCGCTTCCGGGTGCATCGGCAGGGATGCTGGATCAGAAGCGGAGTAGCCAGGCCTTCAGTCCAGCGCTCCAATAACGGGGATCGGGTGTCCCAAGCAGCGGCTTAACCTGCACCACAGTGTGCGCCCCAGGGTCACTTTACCTGACATCCTTCGGTGGGGCTTCCCTGTGAAGCGGGGTGATGGCAGCAATGGGCTCCCGGTGGCAGTGATGGAACACTTGATGGGGTTCCAGGGGAGCTGGAGGTCATTGAAGAAATGTTGGTGTTGGTTAATGATCTTGACAGTGGAATGAAGAGTCTACCCTGTGCAGGACGCTCTGACCACAATGAACAAGGACATCCCTGTGGCAGGCGGGGGCCTTGCCTTAGCAGACGGCTGTGGGTGCTCTTGCCTTGGTGCCTGGCTCTCTCGAGTTGCTGTGGTAAATCCTGTGAAAGCAAGGTGATGAGCTATGGAGGCGTGTGGAACTGAACGCAGGCGTGGACATGCGGCACCGCGGTTAAGTTGCCGTTTTTCACATTGTAATTTTGCTTGCATCCTCCATATCTCCTTTTCTCTTCCTTTTTTTGAAATAAATTTATTTGAAAGGCAGAGAGAAAGAGAAAGATCTTCCATCCACTGGTTCACGTCCCACATGGCCACAACAGCTGGGGCTGGGCTAGGTTGAAGCCAGGAGCCAAGAGCTTCTTCTGGGTCTCCCATGTGGATGCAGGGGCCCAAGGACTTGAACTATTCTCCGCTGTCTTCCCAGGTGCATTAGCAGGGAACTGAATTGGAAGTGGAGCAGCTAATACTTGAACCAGTGCCCATATGGGGTGCTGGCAGTGCAGAAGTAGGCTTAACCTTCTGTGCCACAGTGCTGGCCCCTTATTGTATTGTTTTGTGTCATACTTTGTAATGATTTCTGAAATGTATAAGTTATCAACTCTGCCTTTAGCTTGTGTTTAAACTAAGTTTATAAAAAGAGGTATACTGGAAGAAGCTCCTGGCTCTTTTTTTTTTTACAGGCAGAGTTATAGAGAGAGAGAAAAAGGTCTTTCTTCCGTTGGTTCACCCCAAAAATGGCCGCTACTGCCAGCGCACTCTGCCGACCAGGAGCCAGGAGCCAGGAGCCAGGTGCTTCCTCCTGGTCTCCCATGCAGGTGCAGTGTCCAAGGACCTGGGCCATCCTCCATCTGCCTTCCCGGGCCACAGCAGAGAGCTGGCCTGGAAGAGGGGCAACTGGGACAGAACCGGCACCCCAACTGGGGCTAGAACCCAGAGTGCTGGCACTGCAGGTGGAGGATTAGCCTAGTGAGCCGCGGCGCTGCTCTTGGCTCTTGATCAGCGCAGCTCCAGCCATTGCAGCCATCTGGGGAGTGAACCAGCGGATGGAAGATTCATTCTCTCTCTCTCTCTCTCTCTCTCTGCCTCTCAAATAAATAAATAAACCTTTAAAAACACATAATAGGTGGTACAGAAATGACTTGGATGACCTTGAGAGAGGCATCAGGCAGCTCTCAGTCCTGTGAGGATCTGTTTTTCAGCCAGGAGGTTTTTTGTGGTCATTTTCAAGTTCAACTAAGATGCCACTTTTTCCATTTTATCTGAAAAATTAAATAGTGAAATAGTTTTCTTAATTTGATTTTTCACTCTGTGTAGGGATTTTTAGTTACTTCAAATCCTAGGCTCCTGCTACCGTACATTTAGAAATCCGAGACGTTGCACTGTGTCCTAGTGTTTCGTGATACTCAGGAAGGCCTTTGCGTGTTTCCCAGGGCTCTGGACTCCTGAACAGGTCGAGGCCCTGCAGCCCTTTCGTGGCTGTTCCTCCAGCGAGCAGGCCAGCTCTCTGGGAGACGGATTGCCTTTCTGCTCTTCCCGCGTTGGGAGATGGTTTTCTTGCACTTCGGAGCATTTGTTCCTGGCAGGGCCGTGCGGCCTTTCCCCTGTTGAATCGTCCAGCTGTTTCTGAGCCTTGGAATGTCCTGCTGAGGTGGCGGGATGAAGGCGCAGTGTGGAGTTTCCCTTCCTGTTCCCATAGCAGAGCTGCTGGCGGGCCCCTGCCCGCCGCCGTGTTCAAGATCGTGTCCTGCTCCCCTAACTCAGCTGAAACCAGTGACCCGGGCCCTGCTTGCTTTCTCCCTCTTGTCTCACTTAGCATGCCGTGGCTCCCTGTGGCCTGTGCCCTGAGCTGTGTTAGGGGACATCACACACACTCCCCTTGTGTCTGAGGGGCAGGTTTCTGGGACCCAGAGCTGGCAGCGACCTCAGGTGGCTTCACGTCACTCATGGTCAGCCGGCATTGCCTGACGCGCCTGAGCCTTCCAGGTGCCCTGCCTTGGACAACATTGTCCACACCCAGGGTCAAGGGTGGTTGTCAGGGCACACGTTCAGATAGCTGGCACGGTGTTTCACATCACTTGATTACAGTGTGTAAATGTGCCAAGGAGTGTTCTCTTTGTTGCTTCCTTAAGACGAACTGACTGTTGGAGTCCGTGCTGTGGTATAGTAGGTTAAGCCTTAGCTTGTGGCAACGGCATCCTATACGGATGTGGGTTCAAGTCCCGGCTGCTCCACTTCCAATCCCGCTCACTGCTAATGTGGCTGGGAATGCAGTGGAAGATGGCCCAAGTGCTTGGGCCCATGTATCTGCGTGGGAGACCCAGAAGAAACTCCTGGCTCCTGGCTTTGGATTGGCCCAGCCCTGATCATTGTGGCCATCTGTGTGGAGTGAACCCGGAGATGGAAGACCTCTCTCTCTCTCTCCCTCCCTCCCTCCCTCCGTCTGTAACTCTGTCTCTCAAATTAATATATAAATCTTAAAAAAAGACTAGTGGGCTGAGACAGTGAGAGTGAGGCTTCTTCCCCGGGTCTACATCTTAAATCATGACTATTAGACTATTTCTAATGCGGTTTATTAGTTTGCATGAAGAAATGAAGAGCTGATACTGCAGTCATGTCCTGCAGGTCTGCCCGCCGTCCCCAGCCTCTCTTTCCCCGAATTCTGCTCACACTTTCCTTGACCTGGCGTTGGTGTCCTGTGAGCAGAAGGGCAGGAAAGCCAGCACGCCCGTAGCTCCGGCCCCACCGCGCTCACCCCTCTCTGTGCTCGAGATGCTGCCTCCTGCTCTGTCGGCCGTCCCCGGCTCTGTCTCTGGTCTTGAGACACACATCCCACATTTTCTTACCTGCAGCTCCCGTCTCTGTTTTGAGTGTCGTGTGAGCAGTTTTCAGACTCAGCGGGCTTAGCTTGGCCCTTCACCACCCACAGGGCTTCCTGATTCATAAATGTCCCCTGTCAGATATTTTAAAGTTCCTCTTTCTGTAAGGGCTACTTTTTCCTTTATGAAGCCTAAGAACAATTAAATTATTCACAACTTGATGTTTTACATTCCTCTGCCGTATCCCTCACATGTGTCGTTGTGGAGTGTGAAAGTGTGTTGCGTAGCCACTGCGATTTGGGCTGGTTGGTTGGGAGCCTTACTGTTGTTGCGAAGAGGAGCCTACTTGGTACTGTGCCTTCACAGTGTGTTCTGGGCCTGTGTTACACAGGCCTCATGCCTCATGTCTGTTGAATATTTGAAATTTGGAGAGTTCAGATGGAGATGTGGTGACAGTAGAAAATACACAATGAGTTGCAAAGACCTGGTATGAAAAAAGAATGTTTAATCTTATTTTGATTATGTTTTGAAACAGTATATTAGACAGTATATTAGATAGCATATTTTAGATATGGACTTAATTGAATTATTAAAACAGTTTTTACTTATATTTTTAAATTTTCTAAAATGCCATTATCAGGAAATTTGAAATTACCCATTTGTCTAACAATCTGTTTTTGTTAGCATTTTTCTGGTTTTATTCAAAGATTTATATATTATTTATTTGAAAGGCAGAGTTAGAGAAGGAGTGACAGAGAGATCTATCACTCCCCAAATGGCCCAAACTGCCAGGAGCTTCGTCCAGGTCCCCCACGTGGGTGCAGGGGCCTAAGCACTTGGGGTCTTCTCCACTGCTTTCCCGGGCACGTTAGCAGAGAGGTGGATCAGAAATGGAGCAGGGGCCAGCACAGTGGTATAGCAGGTAAAGCTGCCGCCTGCAGTGCTGGCATCCCATATGGGCGCCGGTTCAAGTCCCAGCTGCTCTACTTCCAACCCATCTCTGCTGTGGCCTGGGAAAGCAGTAGAAGATGGCCCAAGTCCTTGGCCCCTGTACCCGTGTGGGAGACCCGGAAGAAACTCCTGGCTCCTGGCTTCAGATTGGTGTAGCTCTGGCCGTTGTGGTCAGTTGGGGAGTGAATCAGAGGATGGAAGACCTCTCTCTCTGTCTCTCTCTCTCTCTCTGCATCTCCTCTCTGTGTGTAACTCTTTTAAAGGAAGGAAGGGAGGGAGAAGAAAGGAGCAGCCAGGACTTGAACTGCTGCCATGTGGGATGCCCACACTGCAGGCAGCAGCTTTAACCCCCTGCCACAGCGCCGGCCTGACAGCGTCCTTTTTTTTTTTTCTGACAGGCAGAGTGCACAGTGAGAGACAGAAAAGTCTTCCTTTTCCATTGGTTCACCCCCTAATGGCCGCTGTGGCTGGCGCACCGCGCTGATCCGAAGCCAGGAGCCAGGTGCTTCTCCTGGTCTCCCATGGGGTGCAGGGCCCAAGCACTTGGGCCATCCTCCACTGCACTCCCTGGCCACAGCAGAGAGCTGGCCTGAAAGAGGGGCAACCAGGACAGAATCCAGCGTCCCAACCGGGACTAGAACCCGGGGTGCCGGCACCGCAAGGCGGAGGATTAGCCTAGTGAGCCGCGGCGCCGGCCAGACAGCGTCCTTCTAAGAAAGCATAGTGGCGCCAGCAAGTGCAGTCATGCAGTTTGAGGCCTGCACCTCTGAGCACCCCTGGGGTGGTGGGCATCTTGCCACGGCTGCACCGAGCTTGCTGAGCAGCCCTGGGATGGGAAGCCTTCTGCGGGCGCCACGCTCGTGTGCTTAGGGAGGAAGACACGGTTACTTGGTGCTGCAGTTCTGTGGATTCTTGTTTTGGTGTTGAGTCAGCTAAGAACTCTTCTGAACTCTGTGTGCCACAGTCCTGTGGCTGAAAAAAGAAACCGCATCTCAGTGCTGGCCACGAGGAACGTAGTCATAGCGTGATGGCGCAAACAAGAGGGGAGCGGTGCGCTTCATCCTCCAGTGACACAAGCCTGCGAGTGGCTGGGGCAGCCGAGAGAAGGAAGAGATAGGGCCAGAGAGTGCCCGTGTCTCCTTGTTCTGAGTTGTTGCCTGTGACCTCGGGAGTGGGGCTAGAACGCGCCTGGGCCCGGGATACCAGGCCTGGCTCCAGGAAGAGAGCTCAGTTCACCATTGATTTGTTTTGCTGGTCTCAGGTGCAGTTGAAGGACTTGATCCTCCTCTGTTTTCATTCAGAAATTGAAGAAAAGATGCCAGTACCCTTCAGTTTTGTTTTTTCTGTATACACAGAAATAAAACAAAGAAGGGAAAAAAATCAAATAACTTGCCCCTCTTCAGTGACAGCGCTGAGCTTGGAAAGCTGCCCGGGTGTTGTGTAAGGCAGGCAAGGAGCTCAGGTTTCGCGTCTCCCTCGCTGGGGGTGGGGCAGCGAGTGGCACACTGTGCAGCACTTACATAAGCGTGACTTCACAGGACGTGCCGCTGTGAATGAGCTGCCCCGTCCCAGGACGGGAGCTGAGAGCGCAGCCTTCGGCTTTTCCTCTCAGCTTGAGTGCGAGGTCGCTGCAGAAGTCTCTCTCTCTCACTGGACTTCACACTGCTCTCACGTGACTCCCCTTCCCTTCTGTGATTAAGTTCACGGACATAGGAAGTTGTTTTAGGACAGAAGGGAGCTCGGGCGGCTCCAGGTAAGTCCCTCCGCCTGTCGGGGGCTGGGTTGGCGCCGCTCCTGCAGCAGGAAGCTGGAACTCCCTCTCCTGGCAGGTGAAATTCACTGCCCATCCTTCAGCTCCGCTTTGCCTCCCAGCAGAATCTCCAGGTTTGTTTTCCCGCTGCTGCTGCGGGAAGCTGACCGCAAAGGGCCTGCCTTCGCCAGGGAGCTGTGATTGCTGGGGGCCATCCAGGGCGGCTGCGGGTGCCAGGAGAGGCAGAGCTGGTCAAGCCGATCTTATCAGAACGGGGCTCCTTCTCCACTGCCGGCAGTTAGCGCCACAGCGGCTTCACCTGAGTCCTTGAACTTTCACTTACAGGTTTTGAATTTGAAATTCAGAAGGGTGGGGTTTGATGAGTGTCATCAGGCGGTCGTGCGGACACTAGGGTCTGGGAGGGTCCTGTAGCTGGGACAGAATCCAGCCGGCTCCTTTCCCACTCTAGCTCTTTCTATACTTCTATTTTTTGGAGCCATGGCATTAAAAAAAATTAATAAACAAAGCTTGAAAGAATCAGAGCAGAATCATTTGAGCCTAATTTACACCATGCTTGTTTTAGGGAATGGCTCGTTTTGAGGAATGTCTTGTTTTTGTAAATCGCTTAAGCGTGTCTTTAGAATGCCAGGGGTTGGGGTCAGTGTTGTGATGCAGCGTGTTAAGCAACGGTGGTTTCCCGCGTCAGAGTCCTGCCAGCTCCACTCCTGTCCAGCTCCCTGCCAGTGCACCTGGGAAGCCCAGATCGAGTGCTGGGCTTCTGGCTTCTGCATGGACCAGCCATTTGGGAAGTAAACCAGCAGATGGAAGATCTCTGTCTCTCCTCCTCCTGTCACTCTACTTTTCAAATGCATATTAAAAAAAGGAAGACTGCAGGAGGTCAGCAAAAAGGGGGATAACCAGATTTGATTAAAATATGTGTCTTCTGTAATAAAAGCCTTTTATTATGGGTAATTTCAATCATATTGAACAGTTACCACGTCATTGTCAGCCTTAGTTTCAGTGTGCTGCAATCAAACCTGAGTTTATTTTTTTAATTAAAAAATGTATTTGAGAGAGAGACAAAGAGAGTGCTTCCATCTGCTGGTTTTCTCCTCACACCCTGCTTGGCCAGTACAGGGCTGGGCTGAAGCTGGGAGTTGGAAACTTGGTCCTGATCTCCAAGTGTGGCAGGAAACCAATTACTTGAGCCATCAGCACTGCCTCCCAGGGTCTTTATCAGCAGGAGGCTGGAGGTCAGGAGGTCAGGAGCCAGAGCCGGGTGTCCAGTCACCTACTCTGATGTGGGTAGTGCCTTAACCACTGAGCTACATGCCTGTCCCCAAACCATGTGTTTTAAAAACATGCTTCGGGGCAGGTACAGTGACATAGTGGGTAAAGCCCCTGCCTGCAGTGCCAGCATCCCATATGGGCGCTGGTTCAAGACCCGGCTGCTCCACTTCCGATCCAGCTCTCTGCTATGGCCTGGGAAAGCAGTAGAAGGTGCCCAAGTCCTTGGGTCCCTGCACCCATGTGGGAGACCCGGATGAAGCTCCTGGTTCCTGGCTTTGGATCAGCACAGCTCCCGGCCATTGCAGCCATCTGGGAATTGAACCAGCCAATGGAAGACCTCTCTCTCTCCTCTCTCTGTAACTCTGCCTTCAAATAAATAAATAAATTTTTAAATAAAGTTTCATTCTTGCCAGTGAAATGACTTTTTACTTTTACTTATTCATATTATTATGCTTTTTTTGGTCTGAAGCATTTCCATCTCAGATGTGTGTCCTCAAAGTTAGTTTTTTGAAGTAGTTTACTTAGCCTGGAGGATTCCAGAGCTCTGAGCAGAGGTTTTATCTCTGTCACTGTACAAGTGTTCGGTAAGGGAATCTGGCCACTCTAACAAATAACCCGACTAATTTTAGAGTTTGAAGTGATAAAAATTTATTTTCAGTTCTGGAGGAACCCAGAGTAGTTGTTTCTTGGTGGGGAGATGTGGAGAGGGGGCCCACGCTTGCGTCCTCCACTGCGATTCCACCATCCCCAGTTTGTGCCTTTAAGGCTGTTCCCATCAAGCTGTTGGAAGCCACGTGGGAGGTTCTTGTGAGCTTGGCCCGGGAATAGCACACAGCTCACCCTCTACTCTCATTCCATTGGCTAGAACTCATACTCAGCTGCAGAGGGAGCAGGGCCACACAGTGGGAATCTGACATGGAAGGTAAACGGGCATGGTGAGTGGCCAGACACTGTCCACGTGTGCCCACGTCCTGTCCCTGTGGCACTGCCTTCATGGTCCTGTACACCATAGGGTCCATTCCTTACTTTTTCAGTTGTAGCCAATTTTTAAAGATATTTATTTATTTATTTGAAAGGCAGAGTTACAGAGAGAGCGAGAGCGAGTGAGCGAGAGGTTTTCCATCTGCAACGGCCAGAGCTGCGCTGATCTGACGCCAGGAGCCAGGAGCTTCTTACAGGTCTCCCACGCGGGTTCAGGGGTCTAAGAACTTGGGCCACCTTCTACTGCTTTCCCAGGCCATAGCAGAGAGCTGGACCAGGAGTAGAGCAGCCAGGACTCGAACTGGCACCCATATGGGATGCTGGCACTGCAGGCAGCGGCTTTACCCGCTATGTCACAGCGCCAACCCCTGAAGCCAATTTAATGTGACTCAAAGATCATTAGATATTTTTTCCTGATTATGAAATTAATTATCCTGGGGCCAGTGCTGTGGTATAGTGGGCAAAGCCGCCACCTGCAGTGCTGGTTTCCCATATGGGCGCCCGTTCAAGTCTCAACTGCTCCACTTTTGATCCAGCTCTCTGCTATGGCCTGGGGAAGCAGTAGAAGATGGCCCAAATGCTTGGGCCCTTGCACCCATGTGGGAAACCTGGAAGAAGCTCCTGGCTCCTGGCTTCAGATTGGCGCAGCTCTGGCTGTTGCAGCCATCTGGAGAATAAACCAGTGGATGGAAGATATCTCTCTCTCTCTCTCTCTCTCTCTCTCTCTCTGCCTCTCCTCCTCTTTCTGGATAATTCTGACTTTCAAATAAGTAAATAAATCTTTTTTTTAAAAGAAATTAATTAATCTTAAATTACATTAGAAAGACCCCCAAAACCCCAAGGTTTATGTATACAAGCAAAACCTACCAGAAGCCCAACGGGTGGAGTTGATTATTGCTAATTCTTCATTAGAGTTCCTTCAATATAGGAATTTTTAACTTCTTAGGAATCACAGTAAAATTTCACTAGTTATTTTCTTTGTTTTTAAAGATTTATTTATTTGAAAGGCAGAGTGGCAGAAGGACAGATTGTGTATCTGCCAGTTCACTCCCCAGATGGCCAGAACAGCCAGGGCCGGGCCAAGCTGAAGCCCAGAGCCAGGAACTGCATGGAGGTGGCCCCCGTCGGTGGCAGGGCTCACACACTCGAGCTGTCATATGCTGCTTCCGGTAATTAGCAAGGAGCTGGGTCAGAAGGGGGGTAGCGGGGACTCAGACTGTACCCAGCACTGCCCGGATTTCACTAGTGCTTTTTCTGCACTGGCCTGTGAGCTCCAGAACTCAGAAAAGTGGGAAAGAAACAACCTGGCCATTTTGCCTTTTCTGAGTAAAAGATACGGCTCCACAGCTGTAGTGAGGGTTTCTGCTTTGGGGATTTTCAAAGTGAATGTCTTACTTCTACCTCTCCTCTTAGTAAGTAACTAAATATTGGGGCTGGTGAAGTTGCCAGTGTAGTAGAATGGCAAGGTAATGGGTGATATTTTAGATTTATAATCTACTTCCTGCTCAGTTTTCAGAGTTCTTACACAGAGACTAGTTTTCCAGTAGAGAATATTAAGAAAAAGTTTGAAACTTGAGCCAAAATAAAAACTTGCAAACTTGAATTATGTAAATACGAGGCCTTCAAAAAGTTCAAGGAATAGGCCAGTGGGGTTAACCCAAAGCCCGCTGAGCCACAGCACCCGCCCCTCTGTGTACATTGCTGGTTTGAGCTGCTCATCTCAAATGGGAGGACACTTTCAAAGGAACAAGTACGTTTCTCCAGTCAACAGCTCCACAGCCAGGGATAGAGAACCTTGGAGTTTTTTTTTGTTTGTTTGTTTGTTTGTTTTTTTAAGTAGCAAGTTTTAGCCTAGATACAGACCAGCCTCAGAATTCCTATTTGTGAGGTCATCATCATGACCTCGTAGCCAAGTGGTTCGAATGTGTTGCCATCTTCCAGCAGGATGTGAGCTGAGGCCTGGCCCAAGTCTGCAGACACCATGAGGTACCCTCTGTCTTGTCTTACTAGGTTTGTGTGGACTTCTGTGAATTCACTAGATAAAAAATAAACACGTTGATGTCAGACACTCTGTATTTAGTGAAAAGATATTTTTTAATAGTTGTTGTGCTTTATTTTTTTTTAAAGAGTTATTTATTTATTTGAAAGTCAGAGTTACACAGAGAGAAAGGCAGAGAGAGAGAGAGGTCTTCCATCTGCTGATTCACTCCCCAGTTGGCCACAACAGCCAGAGCTGTGCTGATCTGAAACCAGGAGCCACGAGCTTCTTCCCGGTCTCCTGCGTGGGTGCCCAAGGACTTGGGCCACCTTCTACTGCTTTCCCAGGCCACAGCAGAGAGCCGGATCGGGAGTGGAGCAGCTGGGACTAGAACCTGCACCCATATGGATGCTGGCGCTTCAGGCCAGCGTGTTAACCCATTGCACCACAACGCTGGCCCCAAGATATTTTATAATGATAGGAAAATCATTGTTTTAAACATCTTATGGCAGGACATTTAAAAGCAGAAAACTGGGAGGTTGAGCAACAAAAATATTTTCCCTGAGAGCAGATCATGTGGTAGGTCAGTGGCTCTCTGCTCTGTAATTGCTATCAATACTCCCTTCATGTGGACGTAGCGTTCTTTGTTTTGTGAAAATATACCTGATATCCGCAACACCAAGCAAGTAACAATTTGAGATGATTGGATTTGATCATTAGTGATAAAAAATTATTTCTTACCCAGAGGTAAGAA